ACCAGAAGTTAGCATAATGGCTATGTCGCTGGACTCCCACGTAGTTGACCATGGTTCAAGTCCCGGACCTGGTGGCTTAAACTCACGCCGGGCGCGTGTGCGTGCGTGCCCAAGATCCCGAGAGGAGAATGGAGAAGAGATTGCAGCATGGCCATCCCCCGTGGGGGGTGATTTCTCGCTTTCTGTCTCTGTCTCTCTGGCAAGCGCACACACCCTATAGCAAAAAAAAGATCCAAAAAATAAATAAATAAAAGAATCAAGTAGATGCCATACAGAGTCTCTGGGTCACACAGGATGGCCACACTTAGGCCCTTCCCTGGCGGAAGGGCAATAGGCTCCAACCAGTGCCCAGGGAGGAAGTGGTGGAGTCCAGCCACCCCCACCTCCATCTCCAGGCCTGCACCTCCCCTCCCTCTGCTGAGCCACTTTACCCTGTGGGGAGACTACTCACCTCCTTCATCTTCTGCTGAATCCCAGTACAAGGGGGTCTTCAAAAATTTCCTGGAAAATGTATGTGCATAGATTATTTTAAAATTTGTATTGTAATAAACTTACATTTTCATTCCATTTTTCCATAGATTTTTTTCCCCCATAGTGTACATGAGCTCACCAGAAACAAAGAGAGGGAAAGTGAGAAGGCACCCTCCCAGGGGGCATGGCCACTCTGTAATCCCTTTTTCTCCATTCTCCTCATGGGATTTTGGGCACACACATACACATCCTTGGTGTATTTTTCAAGCCACTGGGGCTGGGTCTCAAACCACAGTTGGCCATGTGGGAGTCCAGTGATGTAACCATTACGCCATCTGCTGGTCTCCCCACCCTACCACTCTAGCATGTTATTCAAGCCACTGAGTCAGACATTGTGGGATCCTGTACCTGCTGGCCCTCCACAAACTTTTTTTTTTTTGAGAGGGTTTCGCTATAGGGCGCGTACACTCCCCAGACAGACAGAGAGAGACATAGAGACAGAAAGTGAGAAATCACACCCCCCAGCAGGAATGGTCACACGGCAATCCCTCCTCCTCCATTCTCCTCTCGGGATCTTGGGCACGCACGCACACGCACCTGGTGTGAGTTTTAAGCCACCGGGTCCGGGACGCGAACCGCGGTTGACTACATGGGAGTCCAGTGACATAGATAGCCATTACGCTAACTGCTGGTTCTCTTCACAAACTTTTTGAAGTACCATCTTTTTCAATTTTTTAACATTTATTTATTTATCTATTGTGATTTTCAAGCTTCTAGATTTGGGACTCAAACCTCAGTCAGCCATGTAGAAATCCAACACCTCAATCACTACTCTACCTGCTGGTCCCTAAAGTACCATCTTAAGAGCCAGCAGGTGATGTGGTGGTTAAGGTGCTAGACTCCCAGATGGCCGACCATGGTTCAAGTCCTGGACCCAGTGGGTTGCTTTTTCACCTTCCCCCTCTCTCTGGTGAGTGCACGTGCCCTGTAGCAAATTAAAATAATAATATTAATAAATAAATTTATTTTTTAAAAGAGTCAAATAGTTTTATTCCATGATAATATTGGAAATAAATCCTAAATAGGGAAGGAGGGATCTAAGACAGTCACTGATCCTGGGGGGGAGACAGGAATTGCAGGACACAAAGGAGTGTCTGGGTCCCCACTGAGCCCAGAGAGGGGTGACCTGCAGCCTCATAATAGAAAGGCCTGGTCTGGGGCCAGCAGGAGGTGTGGTGGTTAAGGGCACTGGACTCCCATATGGTCGACCACAGTTTGAGTCCCAGACCTGGTGGCTTGCTTTCTCTCTCTCTCTCTCTCTCTCTTGCTCTCTGTCCTTCTCTGGTCAAATTAAAAATAATTGAATAAGTAAGCAAATACAGTTAAATAAAATAATTCTAAAAACAAAACCAAGGCCTGGCCTTCTCTGGGAAGCTGCTTGTGGAGTGATGCACCACCCATCTGATTCGTCCCCCATGAGCTCACCACTCAGTGAGGACACGGACATTCCAGCCTAAGGACTGTAAAAAATGTGCCCACAGAGTAAGAAGGGTGAATGCAACCTCAAGTGAAAGGAACTAGGAAGGGTGTAGGAAGATGGGATTGAGTTGGGCCTTTTTTTTTTTTTTCCTGGTTTTGCCATAGGGTGTGTGCATTCACTAGAGAGAGATAAAGAGATGGGGAGTGATAACTCACCCCCCAGGGGGATGGCCACACACTGAAATGGCCAGTTTTCTCCTCCACTCTCCTTTCAGGATTTTGGGTATGCACACACATGTGTCCAGTGTGTGTTTTGAGCCACCAGATTCGGGACTTGAACCATGCAGTTGGCCATGTGAGACCCAGAACCTTAACCTCCACACCACCTGTTGGCCCCAGACCTCCAAGTACTTCCTTGTATTCCATCGTATGAATGCTGTGATTTTGGCTCACTCCAATCTGCTATTGATGAACATCATCTCAAATGTGACGTTTCTTACAATTGGCTTTGTTATTCAATGTGAAATTGAGAAAAACGATAAGGACAAAAAGAAAAGAAAACCACGAGGGATGCTTATAGGTGATAGGGAACCCACGAAGGACTCTCAGCAGGATGGTGATGTGCAGGGGTGTGTGTGGTGGAAACCCCCTGTCCTCTGAGCAGGAGGTGGGCAGAGTAGAGCGGTGGTGGCGCTGTAGGCTCCTAAGCATCAGGGAAGAAGGGCTGGACAGAGGAGCCCACAGAGGGACGCGGTGAGTGGGGTGGAGGGCTTTGACATTGCTCTAATGGGATCCCAGCCCCTTCTCACAGAGCCACCTGCTCCAGGGACCAGAGGAAAGACCTGGGGCAGGGACTGGTCTGCCCACCCCAGAAGGTGAGTGCATGACCCACAGCTGGGGCCAAGGGAGGGGACATTAAACCCTGTGACAGGTAGCCAGGGCCACCACTCCTTGCTTACAAGGGACCCTCACTCCCCTGAAGGAGGGGCCACAAGAGACCACCCAGAGCCTGGGGACAGGGTACCCCATCCCATCCTCTACCTGGGGGGGAGGAGGGTTCGGAGCCACTTAAGTTGGTTCTAATGGGTTTTGAATTGCCTGGGGAGGGGGTTGATTAGGGGAGGGTGGGAAGAACAGAGCTGGGGACGAGGAGCAGGTGCAGAGGACAGCTGTGAGTGAAAGGTATGAAAACAGGCACCGGGTCTTCCTTTGTGGTTAACTGGTAAACAACCTGAGCAGCGATGGAGAGAGGAGGAGGAGGGCAGGTGGGAGGCGGAGGGAGGGAGCTTCCGGAGCGGAGGTGGGCACGCCCCCTTCTCTGTGAGCAGGCTTCCTCCTCCATGCCGGCCTCCTTGTGATCCCTCACTCTGGCCTCTCTGCTCCCCAGCCCTCCTTGGCCCGGGAAGTTTGCCAGGGATGGGACACGGCAGGGAGCAGCTTCCTGCGCTCACAGCCTAGAGAGGAAGCCCTGGCGGTGGTCTGTGTGGGGGTGGAAGGACTGACTCTGGAGGGAGATAAACGTGGGTTCAAAAAAACCTGATCTCTAGCGAGTGGCATCTAAGACAGGACCATGACACCGAACGTCTGCCGGCTGTGGCAGAAACTGAAAGCCCAGGAATATGAAAAGCCTGAAGAATAACCGTGGATACTGGAGACAGTGTGGGAGGGTGGTGGGCAGTGGGGGGGCGCGGGAGGGAGAGAAGGAGAAAAAAGCAAAACATGTAACAGACACAGAAATGAAAATTATTTGTTGGTGACGTGTATGGGAATATCTCTGACTGGACTCGTATGCGGTGTATTCGTGCTGGGCAAATTCATTTTGCATGCCATAAATACGTACTGTGATTACATGTAAAAAAATAATAATAAATATAAAGGGAAAGGGAATAGGACATGTCTTGAGTTTGCTGTGGGGATTAAACCAGGTAGAAGCTATTACTCCAATTTCCATGATAATGAAGGCAATTAGGGAGAAAAATCCAGAGGAAGCCAGCCAACAGACCGCATCTGCACCAACGCCACCCCTGCCCCACTCCACTGCCCGTCCAGGCGAATCCTAGCTTTTTTTGAAAAAAAAAAAAAAAAAAAAGAACTTTTTTTAAACTTTATGTACTTATATATTTTTGACTAGAGAGGGACAGAGTGAGAGAGAGAAAAAGTGAGAAAGCAAGCCATCAGATCCAGGATTCAAACCATGATCAACCATGTGGGAGTCCAGCACCCCTACCTAACCACCAAACCACCTGCTGGCCCCAAGGATCCTAGCTTTTAGGACCTACTATTGTGTTCAGAATCAGATCAAATGGCTCCTTGTCCCAACCAGACCCATTCCAAAAATCAAAGTCTTAATTCTCGCTGCCCGAGTCCACAGCCTTCCATACCTGAGGACACGATTTCTCTTCCAGGTACACAGCCCTACAGCTTACAAAGCAGGCCCACACCATAAATCTCCTTCCATCTGTGAAGAACTCAGTCTCTTCCACAGATGAAAGACTGAAGTTAAAAAAGACAAAGTTCAAGAAAACACTAAGGAGGAGACCAGCAGGTGGCATGATGGTTAAGGTGCTGGACACTCCCATATGGCCAGCCATGGTTTGAGTCCCAGACCTGGTGATTTGCTTTCTTGCTCTCTCTGGTCAAATTTAAAATAAATGAATAAATAAATAATTTTTTAAAATACACTAAGGGGAACCAGCATATGGCACAATGGTTATGTCACTGGACATAGTTGACCATGGTTTCAGTCCCAGCCCTGGAAGCTTAAAACCCATGCGGAGAGTGTGTGCGTGTGTACCCAAGATCCCGAGAGGAGAATGGAGGAGAAGAGACTGTGGTGTGGCCATCCCCCATGGGGGGGGTGATTTCTCACTTTCTGTCTCTCTCTCTCAGGCAAGCACACATGCCCTATAGCAAAGATCTCTTTAAAAAAATAAACGAAGGAAAACTGGAATTTGGTCATGGGACATATGGGAAGTGGGAGGGGTAAGGAAAATGTACAGGAGATTTAGGGGTCCTCAGTTCCTCACCCTCCTGTCTTCTTGCCCCTCCAGTACAAGGAATTAGCCAACTACAATGACAGCACAGAGACACCCCTGGTGGAATATCATCTCTGCTCCACAGTTGAGGGGGCCCTGCTGACCTCCTTCAAGGCTGTGTTCATGCCCGTGGCCTACAGCCTCATCTTCTTCCTGGGTATGCTGGGCAACATCTTGGTGCTGGTGATCCTGGAACGGCACCGGCAGACTCGCAGCTCCACCGAGACCTTCCTGTTCCACCTGGCGGTGGCCGACCTCCTGCTAGTCTTCATCCTACCCTTCGCTGTGGCCCAGGGCCCTCTGGGCTGGGTCCTGGGGACTTTCCTCTGCAAAATTGTGATTGCTCTGCACAAGATCAACTTCTACTGCAGCAGCCTGCTCCTGGCCTGTATCGCCGTGGACCGCTACCTGGCCATTGTCCACGCCGTGCATGCCTACCGCCACCGCCGCCTCCTCTCCATCCACATCACCTGCGCGACCATCTGGCTGGCCGGCTTCCTTTTTGCCCTGCCAGAGATCCTCTTTGCCAAGGTCAGCCAGCCCCATCTCAATGACTCCCTGCCGCGCTGCACCTTCTCCCAAGAGAACGAGGCCGAAACCAAGGCCTTGTTGGCCTCCCGCTTCCTCTACCACATCGGGGGGTTCCTGCTGCCGATGCTGGTGATGGGCTGGTGCTACGTGGGGGTGGTGCACCGGCTGTGCCAGGCCCAGCGCCGCCCTCAGCGGCAGAAGGCGGTCAGGGTGGCCATCCTGGTGACGAGCATCTTCTTTCTCTGCTGGCTACCCTATCACATCGTCATCTTCCTGGACACCCTGGCGAGGCTGAAGGCTGTGGGCAACACCTGCGAGCTGAATGGCTACCTCCCCGCGGCCATCACTGTGTGCGAGTTCCTGGGCCTGGCCCACTGCTGCCTGAACCCCATGCTCTACACCTTTGCCGGTGTGAAGTTCCGCAGCGACCTGTCTAGGCTTCTGACCAAGCTGGGCTGTGCCGGCCCGGCCTCCTCCATGGTTTGAGTCCCAGACCTGGTGATTTGCTTTCTTTCTCTCTCTGGTCAAATTTAAAATAAATGAATAAATAAATAATTTTTTAAAATACACTAAGGGGAACCAGCATATGGCACAATGGTTATGTCACTGGACATAGTTGACCATGGTTTCAGTCCCAGCCCTGGAAGCTTAAAACCCATGCGGAGAGTGTGTGCGTGTGTACCCAAGATCCCGAGAGGAGAATGGAGGAGAAGAGACTGTGGTGTGGCCATCCCCCATGGGGGGGGTGATTTCTCACTTTCTGTCTCTCTCTCTCAGGCAAGCACACATGCCCTATAGCAAAGATCTCTTTAAAAAAATAAACGAAGGAAAACTGGAATTTGGTCATGGGACATATGGGAAGTGGGAGGGGTAAGGAAAATGTACAGGAGATTTAGGGGTCCTCAGTTCCTCACCCTCCTGTCTTCTTGCCCCTCCAGTACAAGGAATTAGCCAACTACAATGACAGCACAGAGACACCCCTGGTGGAATATCATCTCTGCTCCACAGTTGAGGGGGCCCTGCTGACCTCCTTCAAGGCTGTGTTCATGCCCGTGGCCTACAGCCTCATCTTCTTCCTGGGTATGCTGGGCAACATCTTGGTGCTGGTGATCCTGGAACGGCACCGGCAGACTCGCAGCTCCACCGAGACCTTCCTGTTCCACCTGGCGGTGGCCGACCTCCTGCTAGTCTTCATCCTACCCTTCGCTGTGGCCCAGGGCCCTCTGGGCTGGGTCCTGGGGACTTTCCTCTGCAAAATTGTGATTGCTCTGCACAAGATCAACTTCTACTGCAGCAGCCTGCTCCTGGCCTGTATCGCCGTGGACCGCTACCTGGCCATTGTCCACGCCGTGCATGCCTACCGCCACCGCCGCCTCCTCTCCATCCACATCACCTGCGCGACCATCTGGCTGGCCGGCTTCCTTTTTGCCCTGCCAGAGATCCTCTTTGCCAAGGTCAGCCAGCCCCATCTCAATGACTCCCTGCCGCGCTGCACCTTCTCCCAAGAGAACGAGGCCGAAACCAAGGCCTTGTTGGCCTCCCGCTTCCTCTACCACATCGGGGGGTTCCTGCTGCCGATGCTGGTGATGGGCTGGTGCTACGTGGGGGTGGTGCACCGGCTGTGCCAGGCCCAGCGCCGCCCTCAGCGGCAGAAGGCGGTCAGGGTGGCCATCCTGGTGACGAGCATCTTCTTTCTCTGCTGGCTACCCTATCACATCGTCATCTTCCTGGACACCCTGGCGAGGCTGAAGGCTGTGGGCAACACCTGCGAGCTGAATGGCTACCTCCCCGCGGCCATCACTGTGTGCGAGTTCCTGGGCCTGGCCCACTGCTGCCTGAACCCCATGCTCTACACCTTTGCCGGTGTGAAGTTCCGCAGCGACCTGTCTAGGCTTCTGACCAAGCTGGGCTGTGCCGGCCCGGCCTCCTTGTGCCAGCTCTTCCCCAGCTGGCGCAAGAGCAGTCTCTCCGAGTCAGAGAACGCCACCTCCCTCACCACCTTCTAGGTCACAGCGCCCCCTGTGTTTCTGCAGTGACACTGGAACCCCTTCCTACGGGAGTCTGGATGGCTGCTGAGAGGTCACCTTGGCAGTGTCCTCACAGGGGCAGCTAGATGAGAAAGCCCTTCTTGCCAGACCATCCCTGCCAGCTCCTCTGCTGACCCTGGGGCTAGGCTGGAGCCCAGGCGGGAGAAGCAGCACAGAGACCATGCAAAGGGTGTCTGCATCCTATGGGCTGAGAGGACCCCTCACGCCTTCTCTCATCCTAACTATCCAAGGCTCAGGAAAACAACTCACTCCTGCCCCTCTCAACAGGGAAAGGCACATCCCTCCCAGCATGCACTCTGCCATCATAAGCATGGCCTCCCACCTCTCCTCCCACTCCACCTGCTGAATGAAGCCAGGACAAGCTAAGCGCCAAGGCACGAGTGGAGGTTAAGGCTGAGGAAAGCCAGCTGTGGCTGTCAGCTGTCTGGCCTTCGCACATCTCAGTCCCTAAAATCCTGGCCTGCCAGGCCCCCAACTCTGAAGCTATTTGACTGAGCAGGGAGCTCAGAACAGACGGGTGTTCAGGTAGCCCTGCCGGAAGCAGCTCTGGGTCGCCCCCTGTCGTCAGGAGGTCTGCAGACCGAGGACAGAGGGCAGGCAGAGTCCTAAGGAAGGGCTAATGCCCAGCCAGTGCTGAGCCCACAGAAGAGGAGCCCAACAGAGGAAAAAACGCTACTTCCCCAGCCCCAGAGACAGTCAAATATAAATCAAACCCAGTGCTGCCCAGGTTCGAGATGGAGATGGGACAGAGTTCTCAGGGTGGACAGCAGAGTACGGGGATCTTGTCGGTTTGGAGCACTGACAGTGAAGGAGGTGGATTCATCCCCTCACTGCCCACCTCCCCATAAGCTCCAGGGCTGTGGAAGCGTAGAGAAAGGGTACTTAGCCAAGAGTCAGAATGGAGATGTAGCACCCCCTTTTCCCCCAGGAGTAAGACAGACTAACAGAGCCCTCTGGGAGTCGCTCCCCCTGCTACCACCACCCAGGCAGGGCAGAGTGAGCAGCAGTCCTGGCAGGGAAGTCCCCAGACCCCAGGAAGCCCAGCCTTGCCCCTGAGAGCAGACACTCAGATGGAACCAGAGGAAACTTCTCCATGCTCAGGGCTGGCTTGGGCGGAGGCAGGAGGTGCTGTCAGGCAGTCTGGGCTCTCCCTCCTTCACACCAGCCTCTGATCTGGGGGTGGGGAGTCAAGTCCCCTCCACGTGTCCAGAGCTCATCAGGGTTGCTCGGTCTCACTCCAACCCACAAGCTTCTCTAGGGGTCCCCACTGGGGAAACCACGGCTGTGGACCAGGGGTATCCTTGAAGTGGAACATTGAGGAAGCTCCTGGGACCCCTTTTTTTTGTCTCCCAGTATCCTATAGCTGGGCAGTGGGGGCATCAGACGTAAAAGCAAAAAAGGCAAGAGGATGAATTTTACGTTTTTTCTTTTTAAGAAAAAGGCACCTATAAAACAGGTCAATACAGTACAGGCAGCACAGAGACCCCCGGAACAAGCCTAAAAATTGTTTCAAAATAAAAACCAAGAAGATGTTTACACATATTGTATTTATATATTTATATTTATATATATATATATATTTATATAATGGTACAAAATGGCTGGGGGATGGCCGTGGATGAAGGGGAGGGGGCTGGCCTGTGGTGGTCACCTCGGGAAGCTAGTAGTGGAGAGGAGAGGGGACCGGGAGGGCACTGGGCCCTCTACGGTCTGAGCCCTCTCCCCAGGGCAGGAGCCGCTTAGAGTGGACACTTTGGAGAGAGGGGCAGGGGGCTCATGGGCACAGGACCAGGCCGAGGTAGGGTAGGCCAAGTGCCTGGCAGGATGGAGACAGGTAGGCCCAGGACAGAGGCCCCACCATAGTCCCCTGGGGGTGCTGGGGGCATCAGGAAGCAGCCGGCCCCAGAGGAAGCACTGCGCCTGGCTGCCGGTGGGCCAAGAGGACAGCACCAGACCAGAGAAGTGGAGCGAGTTCCCTTTGTACACAGCTGCCCAAGCAGGCCAGGCAGGCCCTGCGGGTGGGGACAGACCCTGCAGGGGCCCCGGGGACAGAGCCTGCAAGAAGACACCCTGTCTGGAATGGTCCTTGGCCTTGGAGGCAGGCCTTAGCCTGGGAACTGCCTGCCACTTCACAAGGCAGGAAAGGAAGAGAAGATGCTTTTATTCCTGGGGCCAGGAGGGGGGCAGTCCCCAGTATATGGCTTCGGCTCTGACCAGCGGGGTGGGCAGGAGCAGGGGCTGAGGGGAGGCAGTGGCTGAGCCCAGCAGGGCACGGGCAGAGTGGGCAGGCAGAGAGCAGTGGTGGGGTGTCCTGGGCCCCTCCAATACCTTCCGCCTTCCCTGGTCCACCCTCAGGGCAGGAGGCAGGAGACTGGAGGGGAGGCAGACTGCCTGGGCCAAACCCTGTTCTTTCCTTCTTTGGTAAGAAGTGGATGGTGGCCTATTTAGTGTCAGGGCCCTGGGTGGGGGTTGGGGGGAGTGACCTGGACTCAGGGCTACTGCAGCCACCCCTGCCATGGCTCAAAAGTAGCCACTGCCTCTTCCTCCTTTCCTTCATCCCAGAGTGGGGACAAAGGACTTCAAGTTCTGGCTAAGATGTAGCAGCAGGGGACATTCAAACATCCGCAGTAGGAAGCAGGACCCCACATTCCTGGGGTGGGCGAACACCCATGCGAGTGCACACGGGTTTCCCCTCAGTCAGTCACTCGGCAGGGATGGGCTGCTGCCCTGGGGGGCTTACCAGGTGGGAACCTGGGTGGTCTGACCTTTGTTAGGTGTGGGGCATCTCTGTCATCTTACCATCTGGGGAGGGGACAGGAATGGTACCCTTTAGGGACCCAGAGACACTGCAAACAAGGGATGGGTGTGAAGGACTGCAAGTCCCCAGGTCCAGGGGAATGGAGGAGGGCAATAAGTTGAAGAAGGGGGAAGGGTTTCTTTTATCCTTTTTTTTGTGACTTCTATCAAAACACAGAAATACAGCACACACACACACCGGCACGAAAGCGCAGGGCTCTATTTACAGTGGCGGCTGGCACCTGCCCACCTGGCCAGCCGCCTGCACGAGGAGTGGGGGTGGGGGGGTCAGCCACATGGGCAGGGAGAGGACACGAGGCAGAAAAGACAGGAGAAAGGCTAGACGCGGAGACCAAGAGGAGGAGCTGGAGAGATGGAGCGCCGGGAGGCAGTGCAGGAAGGGGTGGAGACCTCTCTCCTTGTTCTCCCCCAAGGATCCTACGGGACTCAAAGCATAGCTGGGGGGTGCGGGGGGTGGGTGCGGAGATGCAAAGACACAGGACAGTAGAGGCTCCATAGAAATGGGGAGGGGTGGGGGGACAGTCCTGGGGACCAAAATGGAATGAA